TAGAAATAAGAATTATTTCTTATAAATTTTTATTTGTCGAAATAGTATTTGAATAACTAAAAAGAATACAATATACACAATTTGAAAAAGCTAGAATCAAATTATTTATCACAATTCCGATAAACTCAAATATTCATTTTGAAATATTATTTCTCAGCTAAATTATAAACAATTCACTTCAATCATAGCGATCATTATGATATTGGTAGATCTTGTAATTCTAAGAAATTTAATTTAAAATTCTATCCAAAACATTCCAACAAAACTCAAAAATCTTTACCTACTGCTTGAAGATTTAGAAGCCTCTATATTCCTATTAAACCCAATTCTTATTTAGATTTATTCATCCTATTAATTACTAAATTGATCAAAGAAATATTACTAATTTTGCAATAAAAAGTTTAAAATTATTTATAGAAACTGATTATTGGTAAATATATTAGTATTAAATTTCCTGATCTTAGATAATAATAGCTTAAATTCAAATATCAAATAAATTTTAATTCAAATATTTCACATTCAATAACATTTGGTTTATCTTATCCAAATAAATGAGGAGTTTACTTATTCTCATATTTATCCCAGTAATATCCATAACCTAAATTGGAATAACCATCTTTAAAATCAGAACTAATATATATGCTGTGGCCACTTCCGAATGTAGGTCCATAACTAGAATTACAATAAATGGCTCTTAATTTTTAATCTTATTTCAATGGATAGATTTAATCATGCGTTTATGAGAATAAAAATGATGATAATGTATCATCTTAAATATAATTACTTATATTCTATTACCATTAACATGGAGAATATCCACCAAAAATATATCCACTCTAAGATTAAAATATCATAAGTAGATTACACTTACCATTACATTTATTCCAAAATGAATTGCCGTTCAATCCATCTCTGGTTCCTTAATATATTAATTGTGATTCTTTAATAGTTTTTTTCGATTTTTCTTATAATATAAAGAATAATTTAATCCAATATTCTTCTTTTAACAATTTTGGTTGTACTAACTTATCAAATTTTAATTCCAAGAATGCTTACATCATGAATTACTTTTCAGTTTCACTATTAAAATAAAGTGAAGGTGATTTAAGAGCCATAC